TTTAGGGTTTAGGGTTTACATGTAGAAAGTGAGCGAGGGGCGCAGCAATGCCTGTATGTTGGTTCCATCTTGTGCTAGGGTTTACTGTCTAGGGTTTAGGGTTTAGGGTTTACGTGTAGAAAGTGAGCGAGGGGCGCACCAACGCCAGTGTCTTTTACTGTTTACTATCTAGGGTTTAGGGTTTAGGGTTTAGGGTTTAGGGTTTAGGGTTTACGTGTAGAAAGTGAGCGAGGGGCGCAGCAACGCCCGTGTATTCTACTGTTTACTATCTAGGGTTTAGGGTTTAGGGTTTAGGGTTTACATGTAGAAAGTGAGCGAGGGGCGCAGCAACGCCTGTATGTTGGTTCCATCTAGTGTTTACTGTCTAGGGTTTAGGGTTTAGGGTTTAGGGTTTAGGGTTTACATGTAGAAAGTGAGCGAGGGGCGCAGCAACGCCTGTATGTTGGTTCCATCTAGTGCTAGGGTTTACTGTCTAGGGTTTAGGGTTTAGGGTTTAGGGTTTACATGTAGAAAGTGAGCGAGGGGCGCAGCAACGCCAGTGTCTTTTACTGTTTACTATCTAGGGTTTAGGGTTTAGGGTTTAGGGTTTAGGGTTTACATGTAGAAAGTGAGCGAGGGGCGCAGCAATGCCTGTATGTTGGTTCCATCTAGTGCTAGGGTTTACTGTCTAGGGTTTAGGGTTTAGGGTTTAGGGTTTACATGTAGAAAGTGAGCGAGGGGCGCAGCAACGCCAGTGTCTTTTACTGTTTACTATCTAGGGTTTAGGGTTTAGGGTTTAGGGTTTAGGGTTTACATGTAGAAAGTTAGCGAGGGGCGCAGCAACGCCACCAGCTACTGTTTAGGGTTTAGGGTTTAGGGTTTAGGGTTTACGTGTAGAAAGTGAGCGAGGGGCGCAGCAACGCCTGTATGTTGGTTCCATGCTTCTGCTGCTGCAGTTTTATTGAGTTCCTTTAAACACCAAAAACGAGAAGAGTGAAGACACCGAGAAAACATATCTGCATGCACAAATATATTTATTTATTTTTTTATTTTTTATTTATTTTATTTATTTTATTTATTTTATTTGTTTTATTTATTTTATTTATTTTATTTATTTTGTTTGTTTTATTTGTTTTGTTTGTTTTGTTTTATTATGTTTATTGTGTTTAAATATTGCGACGCGGAGATATTATGCTGATGCTGCTGCTGCTGCTGCTGCTGGTGATGGTGTTGCTGCTGCTGCTGCTGCTGCTGCTCATGCTGCTGCTGCTACTGCTGCTGCTTCTGCTGCTGCTGCTGCTGCTTTCTTTTCTGCTGCTTCTGCCTCTTCTCTTAACTCCTGAACCTGAAGCAG